GCTCTGGTGACGGCGGCCCTGGCCCCTTGGGCTCGCTGGGGCTGGGACCGCAGCTTGCTTTGCCATGGGGGTCCTTGGGGACATGGGGACTTTCTCCTCTGCTCCCATCCCTGGCTCTGTGCAGCCTTGGGAAGTCTCCTCTGTCCCTGCCTGCCGGCAGTGGTTTTAGCAGCGAGCGCCGAGGCTGTGCTCAAGATGCTGTGGAAATGCGGTCCTGCGGGGTCTGTATCCAAGGACCAGCAGCCGGCAGGGCCGGATGATCCTGCAGCGCACATTTGTGTGGGCTGCGTGCGATTCCCAGCCCTGCGATGGCCGGATCCGGACCTGATGTGGGGGGAGTATTCCTTGGAGCAAACCTGGCCCCAGGCAGCCCAGGAGTCCCAGCACAGCCTGGCCAAGGAAGCCTGGGACACAGCTAGGAGATGGGAGGGGAACCCGGTTGCAGTCTCTGCTGTTGGTTCTGGGGGAGTGTTGGGCTGTGTGGCCATGGACGTGGGTGGTTTGGGGGATCTGAGTTCCCCTTAAGATATTTGTTCCAAAGCTGCTGAGTTCCGAGTCTGGTGTTTGTGGAGGTCTGGATCAGCAGGGCAGTGAGGTTTGATACAAGCATGTGGGATGGTAAGATGAGAATTCAAAGAACAGAGGGAAACATCCTCCCTGCATGTATTTAGCATCTGTCCCCCCTTGAACCTGGCACGAGTGGGAGCGGAGGCCACGGGAGCGGTTGGAGGCAGATTGAGTGGGGCTGGATGTGAGAGCAGGCTGAGCCCCCCAAGCTGCAGCCTGAATCCTGCACCGACACCCGCAGCTGGAGGCTGCTTCCAAGAGCGTCAGTCCCAATCTCTTGCTTATGGTGGTGCTGGCAGCTGGAACAGAGCCTAGAGGCCACATCCAGATCTAGCATTTGTGGACTCCTTCCCAGCAGTTGCATCTGTATGAACCAAGCTGGCTTGGCTCCGACTTTCTGATTTCTTCTCTGGCCACCTTTGCTGCTGAGAATAGAGGCCCAAGGGAGACTGCTCAACATGTAAATATTTCCTGGGATATTTGGCAACCTCTGGCCTCCATCCTGTAAGTAAAGGCAACAGTGGGTCTGTGTGTCTGGACCTATGTGCAGCTGTGAGAAGGGGCTTCCAAGCAGCCAGATTGTTTTCTGTAGCTGGGTCAGACCTGTGTGGTCCACAGCACCCCGGCTAGCAGGCTGGCAAGCCGTGGTGCCTTGCTTGGAGGAGAACTTTGCAGAAGGGCTCTGTCTCCAGAGGGTGCACGATGTCTTTTTGTGCTGGCATCTCCTCCTCCACCTGCCTGGAGTGAGCTGTGCTTTGGCTGAGGAAAGGCTTCTTCATCCTTGTTGAAAGCTCTTGGTGTGGCAGGTGGTCTCCATCCATGTGGATGCGTCTGCTGAGGGGTATTTGGTCGTGTGGACACTTGGCTGCTCAGGCACTACCCTGTGGGCGCTGTAGCTGCTGTCCTGGGCTCCTGTGCAGACACGTGTGACTCGCTGCCAGGTGTCCTTCTGCTGTGCCTGCTTGGAGGATGCTGGCAACTGGAATTGGTGCCAAGGCTGTGGCATATCAGGACAACAGCGATCTGTGTTCCCCAGCACTCTGTTTTTTGAGCATCCTGATAGGACAACCTGATGGGCACAAGCAGGGCTGTGCTGGTGGGATGGGAGAGGGAGTGCATGGTGCAGGGAAGGTACTGTTTGTCTTGTGAGCTACCCTTCAGAGGAGTCTTGTGGAGGAAGGTGGTGAAGAGCAAGGCAGGTCTGAGGCCAGCTCATGCATCAGTGTTGTCATGGTGAATTTTCACCCAGCCACAGTAAAAAAAAACATGGCATTTTCCCAAACCTTCCTGTCTCAGAATAGCAAAATTCTCTTAACCAATATCATTGAACTTCTCTCTTGGAAATGGGACAGGACAAATGAGCTCTCAAGGTATGGCAGAGCCTGCAAAAAAACAAAAAAACAAAAAAACAACAACAACAAAAAAGGGACCTGGGGGGTTGCTGTGCCTGGGCTAGAGACCTGGGTCTTGAAGGAGCTGGCTGCTGCCCTGGGCTGTGCTCCCTCTTGGAGATTATCTTGCTAGAATTAGTTTGGTCTGGACCTGAAAAAAATCTAGCAGAGCTGAATTGTTGTTTTCCTCATGGAGGTGCATTCCTGGTCCTGCTGGGACCACGCACAATCCTGGAAGAGATAAGATGAGACTGCTTCAGGTCAAGGTGTCCTCACCAGCAGATATGGCCCTTCTTGGCCAGGCTTCCTCCATTGCCTTGGCGCCCCATCTTGGGTGGAGGAGAATTCCTACTGCTAAACCCAGGTGTCTGGAGTAAAACAGGTCTGGATTTTACCATGAGTGTCTAGATAGAGGGGGAGCCATTGAGGCAGATACGGGGGACAGAGCCAGGCAGTGTGGTCCATGAAGAGCCCCCAGGAGCTTGGTTGCTTTGCTGCAGATCATAACGGAGGCCATGGGAGGGTTAGAGATGGTCACTGTTTGTGAGAAGAGGCATCTCCTGATCCTGGATCCAGCGATCCAGATCCAGCCCATTACAGAGAGCCAAGTATGCAGCGAAAAGCGGTCCTTTCTTCCTGATGGTGGGTGATTGGTCTCTTTTCCTGATGGCTGTCAGGCCTAGGGGACATGATGGCTGCTGGAGAGCCGGGATCCTCTCTCTGTAACTGCAGGATGGTCCCTTCCCCTTGGGTACCTTGGGTACCCCCTTCCTCCCTAGCACAACAGACGTCACCTCTGGCGTGTGGCAGGGTCCCCAGCTGCCTCATTAAAATCCTGTTGCTTATCACCCTGCCTCCAAGCCAGCCTCAGCTATAGCAGGGGGACAGCGTCATGCTGCCTGTCTACTCTCCTCCAGCA